GGAAACCGTGTGTGGGTTAACGACAGAGAGAGAAAGAGAGGGAGTCCGAGTTCTGGAGTGGGAAACGACGGTAACCATAGACGGGTGAAGGGAAGGAAGAGAGCAGGGGGGCAGAGCGAGAGGGCAGGGCCGAATAATCGAAACGATGGAAGAACGACGATAACCGGAGGAACCGAGGATAAAGGTTACCGCGGAGTTTTATTTTAACCCCTCGCTGTGCGGAGCGAGGAGGATTTAACTCGATCGTATTAAAGCACTTAGGCTCGATTTACAGACGATCTATAATTCACGACGGAATTTGGAGCGGAATTCTATTTCTAAGGAGATATCCGAGGTATCGGCATTACATTTACAAATGTGTACGTGAATCTGTGAGTCTCCCGTGTTACGAGTAAAATTCCATCGCGAATTCCGTCGCGAAGTACGAAATGGAGGAGCCTTGGAAAAGCAGGCTGCACTTCGTGGACGGTGTCTTATCGACAAGGAAAAAAACGGATATTGAAGGAAGTGACGCACGATAAAGGATTAAAAAAAAAAAGCACCGGAACACGATTGCGGGAAACCTCGGAGATTAGCCGCGAGATAAAGGAGAGCGGACACCGGAATATCGCGTTCACGGCGCGCCGCTCGAGAGAGCTGCTGTTGTTGCGCGAGTGACGGCGAACGGAAACTGATTCGTTCTGTCAAGATCAAGTGAAAGAAAGGCCAAACCCGTGGAAGGCCTCGCGAGAGGTGCCGCGCTCCAAAAATACAGCGCTGGAGAGTTCGGCCGCACACCGGCGTGACCGAGCCGCACCCGAGAGTTCACTCGCGCGAGTGCGAAAAAGCCGAAAGATATCCCCCCAGATGTGGAGTAACGCGGTCACTCCGGCCATCTCTCTCTCGTTTGCACGCGTGAACCGTGTGTATTTCTGCGTCTCGCTATTTGGCTTACGCACGTTCACGTGTCCTTGCCAACGGCGACGGTGACGTGAGTGCACGCGCACTTGGTTATATACAGGTGGTTCGTGGCGATCCAGCGTTACCTGGCCTTTGACCGGCCCTTAGAAGGGCGCGCAATCGATCGCCGAAGGTTCCGCGCGCGCTTCGATCACGGCCGCACCTGGGGAGCCTTCGCGAGGGAGACATGACAGACGGAGAAGCCGTAAATCTCGAAAAGCGTTATCTACGATACGCGAGGCGCGGCGCGATAAGCATGATCCGCGAATTCAAGCGAATGTCGCGTGGGTGTTCCTCTGCGCGGGGCGTTGGTAAATGGTGCTGTCAGTATTAACCGAGTGTTTGTACACCCAGGTTACCCCGGCACTCAAGTTCGCGGATATCCGAGATAACAAATTTTTTTTTTTTGCAGAATCATAGATCATACGTATCATACGTGTCACGTGTTTCCTTCGCATAATTATGTTCTTCGTCAATCTGCATATAAAAATATATGAAAAAATATCGAAGTGAGGTTAACGGAAAGGTAAATACTTCTCTAGATACTTTATATTTTATCTTTACGTACGGAAAACTTCACTAATGCAGTCTCATTCCTTACGAACAATAACATCAGCAATTTTCAATTAGGCGTGTTATTTTTGAATATTCATGCATTGTGATTGTTGATTATTTGGTGAATCGGCAATGACGTTCCAAAATAGCAATCGTGATATACAAATATTCAAAAATAATTGAAATTTCCAATGTTACTATATCGAGAGAATCGGACCGCATTAATGGTATATTCTGTATACCGAAAGAGGAAAAACTACTACATTTAAATAACTATTTACCAAGAAAAAATATTACAACATAAAATATTAGAAAAATATTAGAATTATTTTACTTAGGTTAAAGTAAATATTATTTGAATTAGGACACTAAAAAAATTCCTACATAACTACATCCTAAAGTAATATTTATTTAATTCAAATAAAATCATTATTTCAATATTCCTTAGCAAATATTTACTTAAATGTAACACTTTTTTTCTTTCAATGTATTTTAACATGTGAAAACTAAATATCTTGTAAAGTATCAATTTTTTTGTCGACCTTATTATTACGCGCTTAGAATGTCCTGAGGAATAAATAAGAAATAATATTAAAATAAGAAGTAAGATTAAAAAAAAATGAAAATGTTCGAGCACTTAGGAACACTTAGCATCCAAGATATCCGAGATTGACCGTAGTAAGTCCAAAGATCGGGTCGTCAAGTTCAGGCAGTTCTTTCTCGTGCTTATCAACATTATCATATCGTGCTGACTAAATCAATGTCTTTCGATAATTTAAAAGTTGGTTACAACTATAAGAACAAGTGATCATCGATAAGATAAAAAGTTTCCTATTAAACGTACGGGTTTTCCGATTCGTTTCAGTCGTCCTGGACGCGTCGGTTTCACGAGGAAAATTCGTTTCACGAGGAGACAACGCCGGAGAACAATGAAACGCGGAAGGTAACATCGTATCTCACATCGATGGCCAAGGTTAACTGTTTTCCGCAAGAACAGTCGTGCACAGTTGTCGCGCCGAGTGAAGCTCAATTAAAGGAAGGAGGAACTCGTCGCTTCGAACATCGGGACGATGACGGAGTTATCGTCGTTGCCTCCTTGCCTCAATCGTAGCCCGAGAACGCGCTGAATGCGACGCCGAAACGCGCCCGTTGTACGACGACGTCGGCTAATCTGCATTTAAGTGCCGTAAACTATGTCTCCGCGCAGCAAACTAGCTTACAAATTAACGTAATAACCGTATACGATTGTAACTATTCGTAGTAAATTAACAGCTGATTATTGCCGCTGCTGAACGATGAAGCCACGTCGAATCGTCGCAATTTTATTCTCTCGATTATCACCGACCAATACCACTGACACACGGCGATAATCGCAGTGTTTTCTGGCCATGCGCGCTCATATACTTTCGAGGTAAAAAAAAGATCAGAAAAAACTTTTCCAGATATTAATATCACTAGCACAAGATTTGTTTTTTCTATCACAAAACGCAAAAATTCATTGCCATGTGCGCGTCTGGTACTCACAATGTACCAGCTGTTTCCGCGTTGCCGCTGCTGACTGCACAGCGAACGCATATGCATCGCGGATTATAAGGACGCGCAACAACAGCGAAAACAAAATGATCGATAAATGCTGGTTTTTATGCAATCACGCGCGAGCGTTCCTCGTGTTCTATCCGATGCGATGAAAAACCCGGCCTCGCGTGTTTTACCTCCCTTCTTCCGCGAAGCGCGTCCGCGCGATGCGTTCGCTCGACAAACGCTTCGTCAAGTCGATATTAAACAAATAATGAGCACTATCATACCGTGACAATGAGATAAAGTATGTCGCCGCGATAACGTTCGAGTAAGTCGTCGCGTAAACGTATATTAAAAAGAACGTGACACAGCGCAGTTGAGGTGTACTCGCGCGGCTATCGGAGAGATCTCGGACGTGAGAACCGCGTAAACACACGCGCAAAATTATCCTTTCGTTTATTCGATCGCTCTGCTGTAATTCCATCGCATTTCATACACGACGTCGCCAACTGAAATTCACCGTTTTCCGCGGGCAAAGATCTCCCCACTCGGGGTGAGGTGTCTTTTAAATCTACGGTTAATTTCAAACGTTACTCCTTCAATATGCAAAACTCATCTCACCGTATGCCATTCACGTTTCACTTCACGATATTAACATTCATCTCCGTTCGTGTCACAAATTACCTCTCACCCCATCTTTCATTTACAAATTTTCCCTTTCTTTTTTAAATTTGCATATTTTCTCTATTATTTACTTCTTTTTGTTCATTTGTATCATCTTCCTTTCTTTCTTTTTATATCATACTTTTTGTATGACTTTATTTTTTATATTGCATCTGTATAGCATGTTATTCTATATATAAAGCGTAATAAGTCAGTTTTCTATTCTAATTTGGCCAAAATTGTATTTCACGTATACTCGTCGAGCGATTGCATCGTCTATACCCGGATTAACGGATTGCAGCTGACGACTAAACGTCAGCAAAACGTACATATGAGGAAAAAATATTGGTTATCGAAAAACATGATAATCTCGTATATAAAATAGTATTAGGTTGATGCACGATTTCATGGTATCTGGAAGAGGTTATGAATTTTTCTGACGATGTCATACTAGCTTATCGGGTAATCAAGGGCAGTTATCGCATTCGGTCAGTAGACCGTTAAGTGTTATACATACATATGGCAAATATTTTGATAGTTGTTACATATGTGTAATAATATATATCCTATAGGATAAATATTTGGGTGGCTTTTAAATGCAGCAACCTTTCGCTCCATTATCGGAGCTTTAACCTTCTGTCCGCTCGAATACTGTGTAATAAAGAAGCGCATAAAGGCATTGATACGACTTAATAGACCAGAGCGCAAAAACATACGTACAGTATATGTATAAATACATGCACAACGATATATAAGCATGCGAAACATTTCTCTCGACACCGCGTGTCGAGCGAAAATCACTGAAAAGAGAAAATTCAATTATCAATCGAACATGGATTCCGTGATTCTGAACGTCCGAGCAAATGAACGCATTATGTTGTATCAGTGAAGTCACGATATTAATCGGAATCAGCAGAGTACAATGTCCGTCCTGTGAAGAAAGAACACACATTCTTTACCCATTCAGTGCATCGAAACGCGAGCGTAGATAAAAATAATCTCCCTGCGCATGACAATAAGATTAAATCTCTCTTTCTCTCTCGTCGGGCGCGACAAAGAGAGAGAGAGAGAACTTCTTGAAAAAGTTAAATATAATAGCGAACGCAGGGAGAATAGACCGCGTATTGTGAACGTCAGCATCTGGAGGACGCATGGCTGAGAAGAGCGAAACAATAGGAGCCTCCAAGTTTCGACAGATAACAACGCCCAGAATCACGCTATCCGTGCAAATGAAGACATATAAGATACGTAAAATCGTACACTATGACGCAACGAAAATCGTAAGGAAAACAATAATGATACCTGTGAATTAGGCGTCGCCATACCTTGTTATAGCACTGGGTAATTCGACCTTGACAGGTAGTCTTAGCTTATGCATTTTACTTTATACGTGCACGCACTACTGTGTGTCGTTTACGGTACGGTCTCTCTCCTCTCTCTCTGCCTCTCTCTTTCTCTTTCTCGTATACCCGATGGATATGCGCCGATACACGCGAAGGGATACACGCTGCACAGCTATATGCGGGACGACGTAACGGGAAACATAACCAATAAAATGCGAATGCAACCGCTTTCTTAAAAGGGGGAGAGAGAAGAAAGACCGAGATGAGAGAGAGTAAAAGAGAGGAGAAGAAAGAGAAACGAAGAAAGAGAGAACAAACGGAGCAACGTACAGGGCAAGAGGCACAAAAGAGAAAGAAAGAAAGAAAGAGAGAGAGAGAGAGGTCCAAAAACACTTATCAAACCACACGACGAAACTAACCAACTATATAACGGAGGAGCGGGGGAGGGGGTTGGCAGTCTAGTGAATGATTTTACATGGACACTGGACGGCATACGATTCCTCTTCGGTCGCGCGTACGTCTCTCGGCGACGGACTCTCGGGACTAGATCTACGACGCAAACTCATTACACGCGACACAACGAAAGACACGCGACCGTCTCGACACGACACGATGCACTCTTTGCCTCCGTTCCGTGTGTCACTCGCGGACGACGCCGCCACCGGTGGCGATCCGTGTGTGTGCTTCTGTCCGTCCACCCGCTCGCAAGGCACGCCACATGCATGCACGACGCACGCACGCACGTTTCTCCGTCCGCGTTCGCTCGTCCGTTCGTTCGCACCGCCGTCGCGCGCACTGTTCTGCGCGCACAACACGCGCACGCTCCGCCGAGGTTTGAGCGCACCCACGAGAGCAGCGACGTTACGAGCGGAAACGCAACGAGCGAGGATGGCGTCACCAGCCGACGGTGTGTCGGCTCGCCCGAAAACTGTCGAGAGGGCAGAAAGAGAACAGAGAGGAAAGAGAAAGCGCGGCACGAGAGCACCGAATCGCGTGTGAAACTATCCCCCTCCGGGGCTATAGTAGTTTCTATACATGCGCGTGTGTGCACTTTTGGTGCCGCTCGGTATCCGTCGAACGTCACGTCGGAGACGCGAGAGCGATCTGGCGGCTGTCGCGCGACGCTCGCGATACCGACCGGTTCACCCGCGAAAGTTTGAATCGTCGCGCGACGTCGCCGCCGCCGCCGGCGTCGCTTTAACCTTAATTGCGTTTAATCAACGGATCGATTCTGTCAAACCCGATTAACGCGAATTTATCGAGGCTCAATTCTACCGACATCGATCACAGCGATGCGATTGACTAAATTGCTCTCGTAAATTGTCTACGTCATAGGTGTATGCATGTACCGGGTAATCTAAGGAGAAACAGGGAGGGTCAATTTTTTCGAACTATTGCGGGACCGTTGATCGACGTCAGAAGATCGGATGCCGAGTTAATCTTTATCATCAATCGTAGTAACACGATTCATTGGCAATACTTTGGTACAATATCGGTTATAATGACATTCATTGGAGGTACATTAAACGAATTGCCCAATATAAAGCCAGCCAAACCTGCCAAACTTGCAGAAGCAGATATTTTGTGCAATATCTGTTGTAAACTTCATCGGCAACTTACTAATACAATAGGGTTTGCTGACAGGCAGTCGACAAAATTTATAGCAGGATACTGCGCAAACTCAGCGAAAAATGATTCATCGAATCAACTCGTCAAATTAACGTCGATTCGATGTAATTTCGATTGTCTCTACGTCGATTTGATGTCGATTCGATTTTCATTTCTCGCTGGAAAATCCTTTTAGGTAAGCTTGGTGTCTGACTGACTTTATACTAGGCAACATTCGTCCAATGAATGCTAACATAGCCAATATTTGGCGGATATATCGCGAATAAATTGCACCATTAGAGATGTATCGGCGTTTACATCCCTAACAAGCACCATTTAGGACGAAACCGATGACCACCGTGATGGAAGTACAGCCTTTGAATCGTGTCACTCGCTTTGTTCTTCTTGCAAAAGGAGGAAACAGGACGGGCGGAGCGAGCAGCTTGTCGATGGCATCGGTTCGTCGCGCAGCGAATAAAAGCTACGTGTTTCGGTTTTGCAAAACGTCGATTCGCTCTAGTTGCCGTGGGCAGGTCGTTTCATCGGCTAGATATTATCTTATATATCTTAAGATAATCACAAGAGGAAACCGATGTCTCCGAATTGCAAAGCCGAACTAGCAGCTGAAGATCGTCGTGCGCGAGCTTGTGGGTGGCGCGAAACGTGCGTATTACGTACGAGAATGAGATGAGAGAGAGCAATGAGAGATGGTATATAGAGGATGGTATATAGCGATGAAAAGACTGCTTTATTCAAAGCGGATGAGGTACATCATTGGCGCTCTGCTTATCATGCCGTCCGCAAATCGCAATCCGGCTGGAAGTATGAACGCGGCCATGACATACGATCTGATCCTTGCCTTCGTGCGATGATCGGATAACGCGTAATGCAACTGTAATAACAAAGTAATGGATAACATGATAAATAACTGGAACAATTGATATACTGGTCACGCGCGACAGGCGGATGCGGCGCTGCTACTACGCTACAAGCGAGAACAGCGAGCGTGCAACAAGCGTACCGGGGGGAGGCTGTGCTACACAGTCACGATCAGCGAGCAACGTCGAACGTGTTATTGTTTGTAACTGAATCATTGTTCAGTCCTCTTCGTCACGGACCCGAGTCGTTTAATCCGATGACTGGTAAGCGGAAATCAAATTAGCTTGGCCGCTCGACGATCGCTGGTATCTGATCTTCCGCGAACGCTAATATAGCCAATTAAAATGAACGAACGAAATTCCACTGCGGCGTACTTCACGCCTTCTCTACTTGAGGACGAAAGCTCTCTAGTCAGCAATAACAATGAACAATAATCGCTCGTCAACGATCAGCTGATCACGTTAACAATAGCATGTCCGCCGAAACGAAATGTGATTCGTACGTAGAAAGTGAAAATGAGCAAAGCTAGTGAGTAGCAGCAGGCAGGTAAGAAGCACTCTCGAGATGACCGAGTGGATCAAAACGAGAGGGAGGCGAAGCGAACGGGCGATCGTCGTCGTCGTCTTACCTAAGCAACGCTTTCCTCCAGCAGTAGTCCGTCTCGATAACGAACAGCTGCAATTTCATCATATACGTGGACGTGGCCCAAGGCATACAAACGACCCGTACACGCCTGAAGGCTGTCCACCTCTCGGCGAAAGCTCTCCTGCTGTCACCGTTGCTCCACCACCTCGTCCCCCTCCGCGTGAAAAGCGCGATTCCGTTGTTATCCGGGTCGCGATTAGCTGCGCGCGACCCAATTATTATATCGCGCGGGGCCCGTACGTATCGATCAATCGGCACGGAACGCACGGAACTGAGACGAAGCTCTCCCTCTCTTTCTCACCCTCTCCTACCCCGCAGCCGTGAGATGGATCTCAAGCCGGTGAGATGATGATCTCTCCTGGGAAGCGCACGGGATGAATCGCACTGCGCGGCTGCCGAGGGAGAAGACGCGCTATACCGTGCAACCGTTCGTCTCGAGGGTGGAAGCGGAATTGGAAGCACACAGTGACAAGATCTTCAGCCCCGGGGAGACGGTCCCGTCTTCGAACTCTTGAAAGCTCACCACCGTTGCATCTTTCTTTCCCTTTATCTCTCTCTGTAGTCTCACTCGTTCTCACCCTCTTTCTCTTTTCTCTTTCTCGTTTCCGCTCCGCTTCTATCTCATCCGAACTCGGGCAGTGATGAAAAGAGGACACCGTCAAAGTCTATTTTTCTGTCCGTCCATCTGTCTGCCTGCTTCCTCGCCCACCCTCTGGCGCCGTGCTTCTCCGACGCGGACGCGCGTCGCGACGCCCAACAGGAGTTCTCTTACAAAAGCGCACGCGCCTCCTCATGGATCGCCACCCTCTGTCGTGGACTCGCGTTACAGCCGGCTGCTAACGATGACGTCACGCGGGGGGGGAGTGCCCGATTCATTCACGAATATTCGACGACGGTCTCACAGGGCTGATCCGGAGGACACGAGCACCCGGCGGCGCACATGTACGAGAAGGGTACCCTTTAAATCCCTCCCTCAGAACCGAAAGGAACCTGAGCCAAGATCAGTATTTTTGGTCTCTATATCTCTTTCTATTTCTCTTCATTCCTCTTTCCCTGGAAACGGAAAGACAAGGTTCGGAGGTGGCAAGAGGATTTATGCGAATGGGCAGACGAAATTAGAAGTTACCGTCACTCCTTCCACCCACACGAATGCTACCGATATTATACATACGTAACGAGATAGTGTATAACCGTTGAGGTCAAGTCAAATATAGCGATGAATGAGAAGCGATGGGAGGAGAAAAATAGATCGGCCAAACTGGACATCACCTGAAATAAACGGTGAAACTTCCGATTTTACTTTAGATTTCATATTGCAACCTTCGAAGCGTGAATTTCGAAGCGTCTGAGTGGCGACATTTGTCTTGAAAGACAACCCTGCTATCATGCGAGTATAAGGCCAGAGACTCCGTGAAAAGTACTTGCGCACAAAGGGTCACACCATCAAAAGTTGAAATTAATAACCCCGAGAGAGGGTTTCAGTAAACGCAGTGGTTCTCAAATCTCCAATCGATATTAATTTAAAAATACTATAGTAGTATATAGTTTTTTTATTATTTGTTTCCATTATATTTACTCTATATACTTACTTCTTTCTTATCTATACTTATGTTTCATTTGGAGTAAAAAGATAATCTATAACATCATTTATCTATTATCTTCAGGCTATAACGTATTACTTAAAATTCTGTGTTTATATTAATTTTGTAAATTATTTGAATTATATCTAGTTTTTCTTTTATACCTATTTATCAATGGTGTTTGAAATTTATTTTTTTCGCTGCAGTAATAAACGCCATCAAACGATAGAACTATCGATTTGTCTAGCATCATCTAGTGGTGTCACGAGGAGACTCGTTACATCTAACGGGTTTAAATCTCAGCTAAGTTTATTCCGAGTCTTGATTAAATAATTTATTAATTTATTAACTCTATTCTCCATAGTCTCTGTTACAGATCACTATCGTTTTTTCTTTTTCGGAAAATCAAAATTATAGTATAGTTCAACGGCAATCAGGTGGACATTTATTGTCAAGTGGAGCTGCTCGATGGTAGATCAAACGGATCTTTCCTCAAGTAGTATAATTCAACGACGGATTAGACGGATCTTTATTTTCAAGTAGAGAGATCTTTTAACCCGTAGCGAACGAATGCCGCCATATTCGCGACATTATATTCGCGAATATGGCGGCATTCGTTCGCTAAGGGTTAAATATGTATATTATTATTAAAAATTATAAATCGAAGTAAAAATTTTGTCCTAGAGTCTTAATACGGTGCATTAACATTTTTATATAATAGAATATACAAAGATTCCTCCTTCGTATTCCCTAAAAATATTTTGTACAAGGAACGACACGAAGCGCAGTTTATTCGATTATTTTTTTAATCCATATCATTAAAATCCATCATGAAAATTACTCATTTAAAATTCCACTTGAGCATTTGAACGATTCATACTCCGCTTTTAGCAACTTTCAAGTATTCCGTGTAATTGAGAATGCGTTCCGAAACATTAAGCCACTCTCCGATTGGTAAAATAAAGACGGGATACGCCAAAGGCAAATTGCTTTAGAAGGCATGAACCAATCGAACGAGCTGTCTCACGCACTCGCATTGTCCTACCTATGCAACCTTATTTTAACCACCTATAACAACCTATATCTGCCACTTCTAACCTGAAGGCCTGCTAGTAAACACAACAATTCAATACTCGTGTCGCCGAGGCAATATATTAATTAATCTTAGGCGTTATTAGGCGTACATAGTTAGGATCACAATGGTAAGACTTCGACACACTCTCAAGACTTTATTCGTTTTACGACGATTACATGGTGCTGCGAGTCGGCTAACCTCTAAAAGCACTTCCGACGTTTCGATTTGCAGGATGTATTTTTAATGATCAGGCGAAAAAACATGACAATATTCACCGATGCAAAGGATGACACTACGGTTCTTGAGCTGAAAAAAATGATCGAAGGTGAGGACACGTGGGAAAGCGTAACTACAAACCTGTCTTTTGACGTGTCTCTTCGTGATTTGTGATTAAATGATTATTGTTTCGATAGAGGAAAAAAAGGAAGAGAGATTATTTTTAATATCAAGATGAATTTACGTAGGTATACTGAAAGTGCCACCTGTAAATCAACAGCTATTTAACAAGGACAACACACTAATGAGTGATGGCAAGTTTTTATCTGATTATGGGCTAACATCATTAACTGCAAAGGCACAGTGTCCTGCGTTAGTAGGCTTAGCCCTGCGTCAAGACAATGGCCAGTTTGAATCTCTTGAAATGACGCCATTCTCATTACCACCGGATCTTCCTGATGTGATGAAATCACAAGAAGCTAATGGACAGGAACAGTCTCCTTGAAAAGACACGGATGATATTGCACCAGTTGACGACGAAGTGTTGTGTTCGATGAAATCTAGTAATTTGTCAAAGCAGCTCTGAATGGTAAAGCAGAAAAAAAGCAAGGAAATCTATGCAGGTATCATCATGTGAATATTAGATACGTACAACTTCACACTCAGATACTTGGAGTCTCAAAACTTTTTCCAACACTTTTATTGAAGATGCTATGTAGTCACGCAATCTTCAGTTTTGTAAGAGTGAGTGGGCAAGTACCAATTAGTACTTGAATATTATTAGACTGAAGGTGATAATAAAATTAAACATGCTTACTACATTGTGCGTTAAACCAAATTTATATAGCAATGAAAAAAAAATATATATATATCTATATATAAGTGTTTTTTGTTATGGTCAGGATGAGAATAAATACCTCAGCTTACATTTAATTTGTAATTATAGCTTAAACGTTAGTTTAAAGTACTTTCTACTATATTTTCATATTGAATATCAATCATATACATGTATACACATGTATATTCACTTATGCTTTATTTAACTTTTATATGCCTACATGTATCCTTGCATTATCAAATTGCTGAATTTTGTAACAGACATTAGATGGTGTCTTGAAATCATAAATTTTACAATTACAACGTGAAATTCAAAGGAAAGAATGTGATAAATTATAAATATCATGTGTAGTTTCTATTGCTTTTCCTTTAATTTTTAATAAAATCAATAATCTCTCTTATAAAACAGTTTGGTCTAGGCTAAAAGGTCTGGTAATGGATAAACAAACGAATATGATTATTATAAATGTAAAATAGAATGCTCTAATT